TCTCTCTCTCTCTCTCTCTCTCTCTCTCTCTCTGTCTGTCTCTGGTGAGTACATGCGCCCTGTAGCAAAAACCTCTCCAAAAAAAAAAATAATAGTTTTTTTCTTCTCTTTTTAAAAATTTTTTTCTCCTTTTTAAATTTTTTAAAATTTCATTTCCTTTTCATTTTACCTTTCTCCCTTTTCTGCTCAGCCTCCATATACTGAGTTTTAGACAGGTCTGGGTGCTCAGTAGCCAACTATCTGAATACTTTTAGGGTCAGATTAATCCTCAATTTTCATCGAATCAGTTGTGCAAAGGGAGAAAAGTTGTACTGTTGACAGACTGCAGGTCACCTCTTTCTGTGTTCCTCTGATTGCCCAGACTTAACTCCAAAGACTAGGAAAAGACATATAATTCATCAGATGACCAGTAACTTCTGCAGAGGCACAAGAAATATAAGAAACCCCCCAAAAAATCTCTCCCCTAAGGGAAAAGAATAACTCCTCTCCCTCCACAAAGAATACAAGGAAACTCATGGAAGTGTCAGATAAAGAATTGAAAATACTTGCAGTGACAAAGCTAACAGAAATGCAAGAGAATCGAGACAACGAACTCCAGAAGATGCAGGAGAAAAGAGACACCGAGTTCCAGGAGGTGAGAAAGTGGTAAGAGAGGTACACCTAACTTTTTGGGGTTTATCTGTGGACACGTATGTTGTGAGATTATCCAATTTTTTTTTTTTGAGAGATTTTCACTGTAGGGCGTGTGTGCTCGCCAGACAGACAGAAAGAGACAGAGAGACAGAAAGCGAGAAATCACCCCCCAGGGGGTATGGTCACGCCGCAATCCCTTCTCCTCCATTCTCCTCTCGGGATCTTGGGCACGCACGCACACGCGCCTGGCGTGAGTTTTAAGCCACCGGGTCCGGGACACGAACCACGGTCGACTACGTGGGCGTCCAGCGACATAGCCATTACGCTAACTGCTGGTTCCCATGATTATCCAATTTTTTTGTGTATATAGAGTTTAAACATTGATCACTGTTTTGTATACTGTGACTAAGTGTGTATTTTCATGTATGCATGATGTGAAATGGTTTGTTTCTGCGAATATCTTTGTGTGTTTGTGCCTGTGTGTATTTAATTTTTGTGTAGGGTCTGATGTTCATTTATTTTGTTTGTGTATCTGGTTTAAGATTGGTATCTAGGTGGGACCAGCAGATGGAGTAGCGGTTATGTCACTGGACCCTCAAATGGCCTACCTTGGTTTGAGTCCCAGACCCAGTGGCTTGAAAATCACACTGGGCCACGTGTGCATGCATGCCCAAGACCTCAAGAGGAGAATGGAAGAGAAGGGACTTGGGGGGGGGGGGATGATTTCTCACTTTCCCCCTCACTCTCCAGTAAGCACATGTGCCCTAAAGGCAAAAACCTCTTTAAGGGGAAAAAAAAAAAAGATTGGTATCTAAGGGCCAGCAGGTGGCATATGGTTAAAACACTGGACTGCAATGTGACCAGCTGGTGCAGGTTCCGACCGTGGCTTAAAACTCATGCCAGGCACATGTGTGTGTCCACATATACACCCTAAAAAGTTAGGTGTACATCTTCCATATGTATAGAATAAAACAAATAATCATCTCACACCACAAGACACAAGAAAATTAGCTCTCACACCCTCCTCTGCACACACACACAAGATGGTATTTCAACTCATTTATAAAGAAAAAATTGCCCATCCCATACTCTACACATAACACACTAGAGGAATCCAGCTACTTTTGCTCCTTTAGCAGACAGATAGATCTGAAGAACAGGGACACATGAGACCAGAGAGTACTTGGGGTCGGGGGTGGGACAAACCCGATTCCTGTCACCAGGCTTTGGGGCTCCCCTGAGCCCTGTGCTGGGAGGAGCGGCAAGGTGAGCACCCAGGGGTCCTCTCTGAGTGGCCAACTGGAGCTCTGGCAACAGTGACCAGAGCTTCCTGTATTTAAGTAGCAAATACACCCACGTCCAGGGCAGAGCTCTGAACTATTTCCAGCTGATGGGGCCCCGACACTTTCAGTCTCCTTCAGGATGAAGTCACCCGACATTTCTGAGGTGACCTGAGAGTCCAGATCCTGCCTGGGTGACTCGGTCCCTGCTGTGGGGCGGGTATCATGTGTGTGGAAGAGCAAGGACTGGACTCACAGGTGTGAGTAATCATGTGGACAGGTCTAGAAGGCCCTGCACTGGCTGCCTGTGGAGAGAAGTGGAGGAACCTGTCCGGCAGGCTGGGAGGTGGCTGAGCCCTGGGCAGTAAGCATTCACCTGCTGCATTTTTGTATATTTGTTTTTACCCAGGACCTCATGCCAGCCCGTCTTTACTTCCTGGATGTGGCAAACAGGTGGGCTACTGCCCTGAGTCACCGACATTCTCTGGGAGGAGCAGATTAAATAAACAAGATGGGCCCTGGCTTTCTCTATGGAGAAGGTGAGATTTCTTCCCTGGTACCCTCAAAAAGGCACCCCCACCTTATCGTTCAGTCTCTGCAAAGCAACAGCTCTGTGTTCCTTCATTTTAAATAAGGTACTGTTTAGGAAAGACATTAGCCTGATAAAGACTAGGTTGATGTTAGGTTGAGATGTTGATAGAAGTCCTTACTTGCTTTAAAAAAAAAAAAAAAAAAGATAAGAGTCCTCCATGGCAGCTGAGAACTAGTGTTTTCAGGGAATAAGAGAAATGAAGGTTTTTCTGCTGAGAATTTATACTGATAGAGCCCCTATATCCTCTCTGTCTTTCTCTGTCTCTTTTGGTCTCTCTGTCTCTGTCTTTTCATTTTTTTTCTTTAAATTTTTTTTTAAGGTAAAGTATTTCCTTGGTTCTCAAATCCTCCTTTATCTTGATAATAATCCCCTTTCTCCTTCCCATTTAGGAGAGGCAAAAAGGGCAGGCCTTCAGAAGACTGAGTCCTCCATGGCAACTAAGAACTAGTGCTTTTGCATAGTGCGCAGTTTTCATTTCTTGTTTTTAAAAATAAATACTTTTTTTTCTTTTCTCTTTTTTCTTTCTCTTTCTCTTTCTCTGTTTTTTGTTTGTTTATTTGTTTTTGTTTTTCCTTTTTCTTTTACTTCTTCACTTTGCTGCTCAGCCTCCATGCACTGAGTGTCTAGACAGGTCTCAATGAATCTTAGCCAAACATCCAAATACTCTCAGGGTCGACATATTCCTCAATTCCCACTGAATCTGTTGCACAAAGGGAGAAAAACGGAATGGCAAAGAGTTTTGCAGATCACCTCCTCCTCCACACCTCTGAATGCTCAGGTTGAATTTCTAGAAATTAGTAAGAAACAAATAACACATGAGATGACTAGAAATCACCGCAGAGGCACAAGAAATACTAGAAACCAGGAAAATACTTCTCCTCCCATGGGAAAAGAATAACTCTTCTTCATTCACAGACAGTACAATGGAACTCATGGAAATGTCTGATAAAGAATTTAGAATGTTGGGGCCAGCAGGTGGTATGGTGGGTAAGGGCGCTGGATTCCCACATGGCCAACCATGGTTCAAGTCCTGGACCTGGTGGCTTGCTTTCTCACTTTCCCTTTCTCTCTCTCTCTCTCTCTTTCGTCAAATAAAGAAAAAAGATAACAATAACAAATGGAAATAAATAAATAATCCTTTAAAAAAAATAATTTAGAATGTTCGTAGTGACAAAGCTAACAGAGGTGGATGAGAATAGAGACAATGAACTCTAGAAGAGGCAGGAGAAGAGATGACGAGTTCCAGGAGGTGAGGAAGTTCTTGTGAGAGCTGAAAGAAGAAATACACACCATAAAAAATGAATCAAATGGAACTGTTAGAGATAAAGGCTATAATGCAGGAAGTCAAAAACCTCCTTTGAAAGTATTAAAAGCAGACTAGATCATTCAGAAACTCAAATCTCAGATGTAGAAGACAGAATTGCTGGATTAGAAAAAATCCACCACTAAGACTGAGAAAATAGTCCCCCAAAATAAGAATAATATACAAGAAATACTAGATACCATTAAACATCCAAGCATCCAGATAATCAGTATCCCAGGGCACTAATAATCTATTTCATGAAATACTGGAAGAAAGCTTTCCAAATCTACAGAGGCATTCAAAGATCCAGACCCAAGAAATACAAAAGACCACAAATAGAATCAATCCAAGAAGATCTTCTGCAAGACACATTATAACCAGATTGACCAAAGCCACAAAGACAGGATGCTAAAATTGGCAAGAGAGAAAAGTCAAATTACCTACAAAGGATATCCCATCTGGCTAACAGTGGACTTTTCATCGGAAACAATGTGAGCAAGGAAAGAATGGGAAAATATATTGAAAATTTCGAGAGGAAAACTATTTCAACCAAGAATACTATATCTGGCAAGATAATCCTTCATGTGGGAAAATAAGACAAGAACATTCTCAGATAAACAAAACCTAAAAGAATTTACCGACACCAGACCAGATCTCCAAGAAGTTCTAAAGGGAGAGTTATATCAGGAAAACTAAAATCAGACACACAGAAACAAGAGTTCAAAAACAATTATGAAAATGGCCAGTGTAATGATAGGGACAAGTCCAGAGCTGAAAGTTATCTTCCAGAATTTAGATAGAAAGATCGGACTGCAACAGAAGATAGATTAAATATATGAGTCTGAACTGGTGAGGAATTTTATGACTTTTGACTAAAACTGATCTTCTATGCTTTGTTTTCCAGAGTTAAGGATTCTGTCTTCTCGTGAGTTGTGAACAGGTCCATGTACTTACTACTTGAACAGAATCCTAACCTGTTTCCTGGCTTTAAGTCTTAAGCAAAGTTCTCTTAACATTTTTTGATTTTGATTTATTAAAGTTAAAACTGCCTTTATTGAAATTAAAAATATATTTTAAAATACCTATTATATGACCACTGTAAGCTATATAGCCTCAGCTAGGTGCTACGTTATAGTATATTCACTCTACTCACAGACTTTCATGCCTAAAGTCAACATGTGCTCACAGATATGTATATATCAGCTGAACTTGCCATTGAAAGTAGATTCATTAGAGTATTTTGTGAATCAATAAAATATTGGAAAAAATAACAAAGTAAGGAAAAGGAAAAGCAACTGTAGGTATCAGAGAGAGTGTGGGAGGAGGGTGGGAAATGGCAGAGGGTGAGAAATAAGGGGGAAATATATATACAAGAAACAAGAAACGGAAAATTATTTGTTGATGATAGCATATATAATTAAGCCGTTATACAGTGTATTCTGGATGGGAAATTGCATTTTGTTTGCTGTGATGATGCTCAGTCAAAGAATGTAAAATAAATAAATAAATAAATAAAGATAAATACATTGAAACACAGATTTTGACATGTGTGTGTATGTGTTGATTATTTTAAGCCAGAACTGGTCTGGTGTCGGTAAATTCTTTCAGGTTTTGTGGAAGGCTGCATATCAGATCTTGCACATGAACAACTGTCTGTCCATTTTGTTCCCTTACCCTAACATGGCTGTCTGCTTCTGTAAACCTGCTTGCTCTTCCCATGAGAAAATACCTTGTGCTAGCCATACAGAAAACCATATCTGGGACGACATCCTGTACCTGCTACCATCTTTGCTAACTAGCTCAAAACCCTTTTGTTTAGCAATGTAATTGCTTAAATGGAAACCCCACTCCCCTCAGAAAGAATTACCCTGCTTGATTCAGCTTCTGTAACTGCTTGTATAGAGACCCCTGGTAACTGACCCCCTATAAAAAGACTACTCCAACTTTGGTCGGGGCTGCAGTGCTGACTTTCTTCCCCTGAGCCTCAGGCTGTAGTCGCTGGTCAGCTAATGAAGACTCCCTTTAAACTTACTCTGGCTTTGGTGGTCTTTCATTCGGTGGCACTCCACGACAGTTTCATTTATCTGAGAATGTTCTTGTCTTCTTTTCCCATATGAAGGATAACCTTGCCAGATATAGTATTCTTGGCTGAAATTGTTTTTCTCTCAAAAGTTTGAATATATTTTCCCATTCTTTCCTTGTTCACATTGTTTCCGATGAGATTCTGATCATTTTCTTTCTTTTTTTTTTTTTAGATAGGTTTTTTCAAAGTATTATTTATTTAATTTTATTTATTATGAACTGTGGTTGACCATGTAGGAATCCAGCATCTTTAACCACCGTGCCACTTGCTAGCCTCCTATTATTATTATTTTTTAAATTCACCAGAGAGAGAGAGAGAAAGGGAAAGTAAGAAAGCAAGTTGCCAGGTCCAGGACTCAAATCGTGGTTGACCATGTGGGAGTCCAGTGCCTTAACCTCCTGCTGGTCCCCAGAGAGAGACATTTTTGCTATAGGGCGTGTGTGCTCACCAGAAAGAGACAGAGAGACCGAAAGAGAGAGACCGAAAGTGAGAAATCACCCCCTCTGGGGATGGTCACGTCTCAATCCTTTCTCCCCTATTCTCCTCTCAGGATTTTGGGCACGCATGCACAATGCACCTGGTGTGAGTTTTAAGCAGTCAGATCTGGGACTTGAACCATGGTTGATTATGTGGGAGTCCAGTGATGTAGCCATTCACTACCTATTGGTTCCAAAGAACATTTTCTAAAACAAGACACCAGATGCCTTTGTGTGGCCATCACAGAAGGAAATCGTTTTCCTTTTTTTAATTTACCAGAGGGCATGCACACTCACCAGAGAGAGAGAGAAAGGGAGTAGCACCCCCACTGGAGACGGTCATGTTGTACTCTCTTCTCCTCCATCTCTTCCTCCTTTCAGGATTTTGGGCACACATGCGCCTGGCTTGTTTTTCAAGTCACAACGGTCTGGACTCAAACAGCACACCCAGACATGGGGGAATCAAACTCCTTAGCCACTGGTTCACGGGCTGGCCCCATCAAAGGACTTTTTTTTTTTTTTTTTTTAATTTGGAGAGATTTTTGCTATGAAACATGTTCGCTCGCTAGAAAGAGAGACAGAAAGCGAGAAATCACCCCCCAGGGTATGAGTTTAAGCACCGGGTCCAGGACTCAAACCACGGTCTACTTCATGGGAGTCTAGTGACATAGCCATTATGCCATCTGCTGGTCCCCCAAATGACATTTTTAAGGTGTGGCTGTCCCTAAGTGTGTAGATGGACCCTGGGCTTAGGACAGCTCTCCCATGGCTGGTAGTATATCTGGATTCAAAACTTCAGAGCAACTTAGTGATGTTGAAGATACTTGTCAATAATTTAAACTAAAGTGTTTAATTAAATGTGAGAGTGGGAAAAGTCATTGTTTTCAATAGAGTGGACTTTTAATGTAATTTAAAAAAAATTAAATTCCTTATTTTGAGAGACCAGCAGTTGGCGTAATGACTATGCCGCTGGACTCCCTTGTAGTCAACTGCAGTTCGAGTCCCAGACCTGTGGCTTAAACTCATGACGGGCGCGTGTGCGTGCGTGCCCAAGATCCTGAGAGGAGAATGGAGGAGAAGGGATTGCGACGCGGCCATTCCCCCACCCCTCCCCGGGGGGTGATTTCTCGCTTTCTGTCTCTCTGTCTCTCTCTGTCTTTCTGCCGAGCACATGTGCCCTATATCAAAAACCTCTCAAAAAAAAAATTTCCTTTATTTTGAGATAGTTATAAATTCACATGCAGTTGTAAGAAATGATACAGCAAGATCCCATGCATTTGCCCAGTTTCCCCCTAAGGTACCATCTTGTAAAGGATGTGCAGTGTCATAGCCATGGTCCTGACACTGGCACAACCCGCCATCTTGAATTCCCACGTTACTTGTGCTCATTATGTGTGCGTGTACTTAGCGCCAACGACTGTGTCACACGTGTGAGTTTCTGCATCTACATTCAAGATGCAGAACAGTCCCAACACCACGAGAATCCCTCTTGTTGCCTCTGACTTTTAAAAAAAGTTTCAAGTTTCATTTATTGGGACCAGCAGATGGCATAGCGGTTACATTGCTGGACTCCCACATGGCCAACTGAGGTTCTAGTCCCGGACCCAGTGGCTTGAAAATCATGCTGGGCATTTGTGCATGTGTGCCCAGGATCCTAGGAGGAGACTGGAGAAGAGATTGCAGTGTGATTTCTCATTTTTCCTACCATCGTGTCTGTCTCTCTCTCTCTCTGGAGAATGCACGCGCCCTGAAACAAAAACTTATAAAAAAAGAAAGAAAGAAAAAGCAGCTCAAAAAAAGTTTTGTTTATTTATCCTATGAAATATATATATATATAGAGAGAGCCCCAACAGGGTCCTCATACCATGATACACCCCCAACTCCAGACAGCCCCAGATCACAGGTACTAGCGTGTCTAGTGGACTCAGGGTCTCCCGGTGTGTACTCAGGGTCTCCCGGTGTGTACTCAGGACCTTGCCATGTGGTTCAACCTACAGAGCATTGCATTTTACTGTGGTGCCACTGTCTGGTCCTCTGTAGCTCCCTAATGACCACTCCTTTCTCTCTCCTGGGCCTCTAGCCCTGTCCAGTCCCTAACCTTGGCAACCACAGATTTGTCCTCCATTTCTAAAATGTTTTGTTTTTCATATTTTCCTCATAGGATATGTGGGCTCTCTGGAGAGAGACAGAGAGAGAGGGAAAGTGAGAAGTCACCCCTGGATGGATGGCCACTCTGCAATCCCTTCTCCTCCATTCTCCTCTCTGGATTATACAGGGCATGCACATACATGTGCCGACTGTTTTTCAAGCCGTTGAGTCTGGGACTCAAACTGCAGAGTGGGCCATGTGGGATCCAGAGCCTTAACCACCATGCCACCTGCTGGCCCTAAAATTTCATACTTTTTCAAAAGAATTATTTTATTTATTATTATTATTTTAAAATTTGCTACAGGGCATGCATACTCACTAGAGAGAGACAGAAAGAGAGAGAAGGAGAGACAGAGTGCAAGATAGCAAGCTATGAGGTCTGGGACTCAAACCGCAGTTAGCCCTGTGGGAGTCCAAAGCCTTAACCACCATGTCACCTGCTGGCCCCACATTTTGTACTTCTAAAAATGATACAGGGTGGGCCAGCAGGTGGTGTGGTGGTTAAGGTGTTGGATTTCCACATGGCACACTTAGCCACCACGCCACCTTCTGCCCCCCCCCCCCAAAGAAGTCTCTGTTTTTACACTATTGTCTGGTTAACCCCTTTTATATGTCTCTAGAGAATTTATGACTCCTTGCTAATAAAGCAGGAGCTAGAGATTTTGTGCACACAAAAGGTAAAGACCCAAGATGGAGTCACAGTGGCTAAGTTTCCACAGCCAAAAGTCTACTGCATTGAGATTCAAAGCAACCGTGGGTAAAGACTACAGTTTCTTTTTCTTTCTTTCTTTCTTTTTTTTTGAAGAATTATTTCATTTCATCTCATTAATTAATTAATTTAAATTTGCCCAGAGAAGGGTATATGAGAGAGAGAGAGAGAGAGAAAGTGAGAAAGCAAGTTGCCAGGTCCAGAACTCAAACTGCAGTTGGCCATGTGGGAGTCCAGTGCCTTTAACTACCACGCCACCTACTAGCTCCCAATGGTTTCTACTTATTCGCTATATTCTATCAAGAAATACAGAACGCTATGGTCTGCTG